CAGCTGGCAGGGGCCCAGTCAGGGCCAATGGCTTGGCTTCGGCTGCTCACTCAGCAGGGGCCTCGACCTGGAGCGCCCAAGGAGGTCTCTGGGACCCGGATCCACCGTGATCCATCCCTGGGAAGGCCCAGGGGTTTTAGTGCCCTCCAGAGGGCACAGTTGTCAGGGGGGTCCCTGAGAGGAAAATGGGGTGCTGTGAAGAGCAGGGAGTGAAGAAGTGGCCAGGAGGAAGGTCTTCCCCTCAGGCCTGGGCTGCCACGTGGCCCCAGGTCAGGGGAGGCCAGGTGTGCGCACGCACGTGGAGGTGGGGGATGGGAGGCAGGATGGGGGCACCGTGGGCCGTCGGGAGTCTGTGCTCAGTTTCTGCAGGGGCGTCGTGGGGTTGGTTGTGGGGACGCTGGTTCCAACTCCCTTCCTGTCAGAATGGTAGCCTCGCTGTCTAGGGGCTGAGGAAGGGTCACTGGGGCTTGGCCGGTGCCTGCCCCTTGCCCCACCGCCCAGAGCCTGCCTCCAACTGGTTTGAGGGAGTCTGAGGGTGTCCTCAGCCACATCCCCCTTCTCAGGCTTCCCCAGGGTCTGAGGCCAGGCCTGCAGGTGTGGGGGCCAAGTGCGCCTCTCTGGAGGCCACTGTGGTCCAGCCGTGGGTCAGAGGCACCTCCCAGCCCTGGAGGAGGAGAGGTGTGGGGCAGAATCCAGAGCCCTCAACGCCGTGTGTGCTCGTGTACGCTCCCGAGAGCTCCGTGGAATGACCGTTGTCCGAGGGTGAAGCCGTCTGGTGGGGTGTGAGCTCCTGCGGGGGCTGCCATGGACAGCTGTTCAGGCTGTGCACTGCACAGCTCCAGGGCACTGTTCCCACTGTCTCCACTGGTGACATGTGCATCTGTGACGTGTAACAGTCGAGCGTGCCGGCGGTGGGGGGTGCCTCTGCTCCATCTGCACGGAGGGGCTCTGGGGGTAGTCGGAGCCTGTGTGCACCTTCCAGTGGGGGTCTCTGCAGGGTGGTGAGCGCAGAGTGTTGGGCAGGTGTCAAGAGCAGGTGGGCGCTGTGTCCAGATGTTAGGTGGGTGTGGGGCCATCGAGGGGCTCTGGGTGCCCCTTTGTGTCTGTGAAGGGATTGGGGCGGGTTCAGAGTCCCAGTGAGCTTGCTCGCTGCTGGAGAGAGGGGTGCCCAGGGCTCCTTGGTCAGCCCCAAGGTGCCCCAGGCACAGGTGGCTTCCTGTCCCCCACAGCCTGGGGGGCAGCCTAGGTCCTGCCTCTTGGGCCCCTTCTCAGCTGTGCCTGGACAGGCCACCCTCAGCCCCACACCCTGTGGGTCTGATCACCAAGTGGAACCACATGTTGCCTGTCTGCGGCCGAGAGCACTTGGCGGCCGGCCCAGGAGGCAGACGCTTCCTCCTGGAATGTGCAGCAGAGCCCGGGCTGGGGGCCCTGCCAGAGAGGGGTCACAGGAGGGGGTTCTTCATGGGCCAGCCGCCATGGCCTCACTGTTACTGCTAGAAGGCCCAGGACATGCCAAGATGAGGGCAGTGTCCCTAATGCTGCTGGTCTGACAGCAGTGCCCTAACCACGCTGGTCTAAGGGAAATGTCCTCTCCCCACCTTTCTGACGGCTGTGACCTGACCGTGCCAGGTTGAGGGCAGCGCCCTACTTTTCACACAACCACGAGTCTGAAGGCAGAGCCCTGGCCCCTCCAGTCTAAGGGTGTGTTTTTGGAAGAGCTGGCTGTTACGTGTTCAGGAATTTTGCAGGCCAGCTGTTAAACTATCGGTAGCTGGAAGCAGCCACAGTGTGAGTGTTCTCCGCGCAGAAACAGAAACTGCAGGCGCTGCATGTCAGGCTCCCCTCTCCCCCAGGGGCCCCTTTGCCCCTACCTCTCCGATGGCCTCATGGCCCACTTCCACTTTCAGAAGGGTCACCTTCAGTGAGGCCCGCTTCTCTGCTGTTGTCCTTCCAAAGCACCTGTGGCCGTCTGCCGGCGTGTGCTGGCCTCTTCTCTGAGGGTTCGGGAGGGCGGGCCCTTGTGTCTGTTTGTGTCCACTGCCCAGAACAGAGCCATCTCACAGGCACTCAGTAAGCACTGGGTGGGTGGTGGATGAACGGTAGATGGGTGGGCAGACAAATGGATGGATGGATGGGTGGGTGGGTGGGCCACAAGTCTCGGGGTGGGCACAGTCACAGGAGCCCCCAGCTGCCCTCCCGGACAGTCCCACGGACTGTAATCTTGTCTCTCCAGCCCCAGCTGGAAGTGGAGGCGTGCCATCCCTGGCTTTCTGGCATAGCTGGCCAGCAGCACTTCTAAGCAGGTAGGAAGCAGAGAGGGCACCAGGACAGCCAGACCCGAGCTTGGTGACCGGCCATCCCAGTGTGTCCAGGATTGGGGTGGTTCCCAGGGCACATGACTGTTTCACAGGATTTTCTGAGACATGGGACTTCCAGAGCTAAAACCAGCCACCTGAGGAAGGATGGCTGACCCCAGCCTGCCCTCTCCGGCAGGGCACCACCGAGGAGTCAGCATAAGGTATCCCCTCTGGGGACCAGCTCAGAGGAGACAACTCGTGTGAACGTATGAAGTGGAATGTGGCATCCTCCCTCCTCGCATTCCAGCTACGTGTGGGTTGTTCTTCAGCCTCTGCTTCTCCTCCCCACCTTGCTGGGTGTCCTTGTGCAGTGAGCAACCTGCACAGCTGTACGCAGCAGCCCTGCACCAGGCCTTTCCAGTCCTTGTAGTATCTCTGGGTCCAGCCACCTTCTTCTGCGGCAGGGACCCTGCCCTGAGCTCAACCCAGAATACTGTCCCCCAGCAGTGAGACCATCCCTGACAAGCTTCTGGGTGCCGCTGATGCTGCTGGTCCAGGGACCCCACTTTGAAAACCATTGGACGGGGGCATTTGTTTTCTCGCAGAGACTCCCCTCAGCAAGGCAGCCAGGAAGGTCCCCCAGGCTGGGATTGTCCCTCCTTTTGGTGAGGCCTATCATGAGGTTCAGAGGCAAGAAAGGCCCATTCCCACGGGGCAGTTAGAGCCCAGCTGGTGACAACAGGGACACCTAGGGGCTTCTCAGTGCTGGTCCTGGGCTCAGGCTCACAGGCAGAACCTCTCTCTCACCCCCATAGTGCCTGTGAAGGCTGAAGGCATCCCCATGTCACAGATGAGGAAGCTCAGGCTTGAGGAAGGTCGGACGAGGCAGCACTAGTTCAGGGTCTCCGCGTTCACCGTTTGGCTGAGCAGGGTGGAGCCAGTGAGGCTGGGGTCCCACAGGCTCGTGACGGGGGTGGGGGCAGGGGGTCCTGCCTGGGGGAGGCCTGGGACCCTGCTCTGGGCCTGCCGCGGGGAGGGAGGGTGGTACCGAGGCCAGGGCTTCCCGCAGGTGTGGCTAGTCCAGCTTCCCGAGGGGGCTTGCTCTCGCCTGAGCCCTGGCACCCCGCGCCCCAGGTTGACACTGGTTCTGTGTTTTGTCATTATGCTCTGCCCTCTACACAACGCAGGGATCAGTGGCTTGGCAGGGGTTGCATCGCACTTCAGGACCTAGGGCCGCCCTGGGGGCAGGGGCTCTGAGGCGCTGCCTTGAGAGGGGCTTCTGGCTTAGCCCACCATGGGGTCTGCAGGAGGAAGGGCTCAGGCCATGAGAGGGTTCCGCAGGGACCCGAGAGTCTTCCAGAGCGTAGCTGGCGCACCTTGCTCACCGGTCCTGGCCTTTCACCCCAGCTGGGGTCTCCAGGGCTGAAGGACGCTTAATGACAAAATGGCTGGGTGTGGAGGACTGGGCCTCACTGACCTTGGTTTTGGGGCAGATTCTCAGCATTCCAGAGCTCTGAGAGTGTGTGCACTGGGCTGGGAGGCCTGGTGCATAAAGAGGAGGGAACATCCCGCAGTGTCCCCACGCTGTCCCATGGGGACATTGGCAGCACCTGCGGCAGGAGTCATGGGGTGCTAGGCAGCGTGCTGGCCAAGAACCATGACTTCGGAAGGTTTGGACTGTCAGTGTGTGTCCAGACAAAGATGCGGGAATGAGAGGTGGTGGGACAGCAGAGCTCACTAGGTCCTGCAGGGAAGGCCAGGGTGGGGGCAGCCAGGAGCTGAGGAGACCAGGAGGTGGGAGGTGAAGCCAACGTGGTTCAGGGGTGGCGACTTCCTGGGCCTGGGAGGGTGAGGGGGTCAGGGGCTGTGATGTGCATCCCTTCCCCGCAGCTTTGTGAGGTGTGAAATTATTTCCAAGTAAAATTAAAACACAAGCAGGCTTCTGAGTCTACTTCCTGCACTGTCACTTAACCTCTCTGGGCCTTGATTTCTCCTCTGTAAAATGGGCACAAAGTGTCTAATCAGGGCTTTTGTGTGAAGAGTGAAAAGCTAAGGGCAGGCTCTCAGTGCAGCCATGTCTCTGGAGATTCCGGCAGGTATGGGACAAGGCAGCAGCTAGCCTAGTGGGTACTACTTGCTTCATTCTGCAGATGACAGAACTAAGGCACAGAGAGGTTGAGTAATGGCCCTGGGACACACAGTGGGGAGTGGCCCGGTCACACACAGCTCTGCAGATCTTGCAGCCCGGACTGCCCACCGTGGATTGTGGTGAGGACTGAGGAGGCCTGTGAGCGGTGGGCGTATGGGGAGCAGGAACAGGGGTGAATTGCCGCCGCTGGCCTGTCTTGACGCCCGGTGACCCAACCCTGGTGGAGGGGAACAGCTCAGGCAGCCCACTGGCCTGCTCCCCATCCAGGCGTCTTTCAAATCATCCGCCGGCTGGAGGGAAGGGGGCCACTGCAGTTTTGTCATCCTGTGCCAGCCCTTCGCCCCCCGCGGGGCACCTCTTTCCCATTCTGCATAGGAGTGGGCATTACTGGGCTGTAAATGGTCAGCTCTGCCCCTCCCGCCCCCTCCCTGGGTTTCGGCCCAGAGGGATGGGGTCGGGGTGGGGGTGAGGCGCCTGAGCCTGGCCGTGTGCCTGCCCCACCCCACAGGCAGGGCCGTGGTGTGTTTGCTGAGCCCGTCTCTCCCTGTCCCCAGATGAAGGTCACAGTGTCCAGAGGGGGCGACCACAACAGTGATGGCGACAGCTTCCGAGAAGCCACCAGCTCCCAGAGGAGCAGTTCTCGGGACCAGCTCAGTGACGTGAGTACCCCAGCCCCTCACCGCAACGTTCCTGGGTCCCCAGGGTGACTGCCGCAAGCCCTTTGCTTAGGGGCCCGGAGTCTCACTTGAGGGTTTTGTGCTCACAATTAGCATTCGCCTTCATTAAAACATGATTTTTCACTAATTAGGACTTCCCTGTCGGGGGCATTTAAATGAGGAACTACCATTCCGCACAGGCAGGAGCCGGTGGAGGCGGCTGTGGGGGGGCTCTGTCCAGCTGGGGCTGGGCGCGGGGTGGGTGCCAGGCGGTCAGCAGCCTACCCCGCTCCACTTGCTTCCACAGGCAGAGTTGTGGTCTGGGAGGCAGGACTCCCGCCAGTGTGTTTACCAGAAAGGGCGGTGGGAAGTGCGACTGGCCAGGCGAGTGGTCCTGCACTGCAGGGAACAAGCCGGAAGTTCTCCCACCCGCCCCGCGGACCGCCCTATCCGCTCAGGCCAGCAGCCTGCACGGTGAGGTGGCGGTAGGGTGCCCCTCTGAGGCAGGTGCCCCTCTGAGGCACAAGCTGGCCTGGATCTGGGGATACCCTTCGGTGTCCTGTCTGAAAGACAGGTCCCTGAGCTTAGGTCCCTGGGGGCACCAGTGTGGGGGGGCCCCAGGGGCTCCCACTGGGGTTTGACCAGTGACGGGGGTGCTGGGTGGCCTTCCAGGGCCCCTCGTCTCCCTAGAGCTTGGAAAGAGTGGATGGGGCTGGTGCAGCAAGGGCTAGGAGTGGGGGCAGAGGGGCCCAGCGGGGAGGACTCAGGCGGAAGGGTCCCCCAGAAGGAAGCTTCGCTCCCGGAAGAGGCCTTTGTCTCCTTGACCCCCAGCTGCAGAAGTGGCCGCGGAGCAGAGGTGGGTTTTCTGCCGGGCTAAATGGAACAAGTCTCTTCATTATCATTTAAATGGAGGCTGGGGGAGGGCGGGCGCGGAGGCCGGGAGGAGGGCCTAATTGCCCGGCTCCGAGCTTGTAGCCACAAGACGGGAAAATAGGCTGGTAATTGTCTGGGGCCGCGGGGGCTGCCCTATTTCGAACTCCTCTAATTGTCGGCCAGGGTGAATGGAGAGATTCTGAGCACAGCAAGGGCCGGCGTGAAGGCGCATGCTCGTGGGCAATTATGATGCCTTAGCCACCCCCTTCGGCAGGGCCAGGGTCTGCCTGGGGAAGGGGGAGGGGTCCCCCAACCCCTGCTGAGCAGAGTGGAGCCGCCCAGGCTGCAGTGCCGCCTGCCCTCCCAGACGTCCCTGGGTCCCTCCCAGTGCATGCTGGACCCTGGTCTGTGGTTCCCACATCCTGGACAAGCCCGTTCTCGCCAACTGCTGGAGGCCCCCCTCACACACACCTGCCCAGCCAGTCACCACGTCCTGTCCTCCTGTGCCTTGGAGGTCAGCCCTGGTGAACACCACCAGCCCTGGGGACCTTGTGAAACACACTTAACTGGTTTCTTTCGTCAGGTCAGAAATGCCCATTTGAGCCAAAGGGAGCCCCATCCAGCACTGGGTCACCCTCATGGGGCTTCCTGGGATGGCTGCCAGCCTCCCGGCCACAGCTGACCCATCTGACACCTGAGGCCCAAAGTTACCCGCCCAGCTCCTCCTCCAGGAAGCCTTCCCTGAGGTTCCCCGCTGGACCTCGTGACCCTGGGAGGCTGGTGGGTGACAAGGGACAAGTCGACCTGAGCATAGAGGAGTTTGACCCCCCGCCCAGAACCATGTGTAGAACCCAGGGCTGGGTCTCTGGGAGGGGCCGAGACCTGGCCAAGGGTTGAGCCCATCCCTGAGGGACATCGGGGCTTTGCCTGCCTCTCTGTTGGGGTGACTCTGCTGGGCTGGACCACGTCTCCCGGGTCTGGGGGTGGCAGGTTCCTCATGAGGGTCCTCAGGGCTCCGTGATGCTCTGCTGTGTGGTCCCCAGCCCTCACGGCCCCCAGCCCAGAATGCCAGCAGAGACCCAGGAGTGGTCTAACTGGCCTGGCTTGGGCTCACAGTATCCTGCCAGGCAGGTTCTCTGACTGCTCAGGTCCTCGGGGGGAGGGTGGCCATCGAGGGGCTGCGACCTGGTTTCTAACTGTCCTTCTTCCTTCTCTGCAGAGCTCGGCGCAGGCGGTCTCAGGCAGAGGTTACTCCGTAAGTCTCCCGCTCTCCCACTGTCTGCTCCCCACATGCCCCTCGGGACCCCCGACTGTGCTGAACGCTGCCTCCAGGCTGGAAGTGGGTTTGTACAGGGGTGGGGATGGGGCCAAAAGTGGGCCAATTCAGAGGGCCCGTCACTCCCTCCCAGGGTCCTGCCCTGCAGCCCTGGCCTGCGAGGAGTGGACGGTGGGGCAGGACACTCCACCTCTGGGGCCGGTGGGGCAGCGCTTGGTGTCGGGGGCCCCGGGCATGGAGCAGCACCCCCCTGCCCTGACACCCTCTCCCCTGTCCATGCTCAGCCCAGGCCAGGGAGGCTGCACTGGGGCATGAGCGCCCTAGCTGTCGTCAGGGGTCTGGTAGGGGGAGGTCCAGGGGAAGGAAGGGGCAGGCCTGTGGTGGCTGATACTCCAGCTATGGCAGGGGTACCCTCCCTGTCCCCCAGCCCCCTCCTCACATCCTCACGACTTTATTTCATTTCTCCTTAAGTATCAGGAGGAACGTTAATGACACCATAAACCCCAGAGCTCCATAAAGGCCGTTTCTACAGATTTACAGCCATTTCGGCTCACTGGAGGGCAGGGGCCCAGGCTCCGCCTGCCTCATCCCCACAGCCCCTGATTTACTGCCAGTTCCCAAGTGCCAGGGTGTGACAGGCTGGCTCTCTAAATCACAGCGGCTTTTTATAGGGTGTGTAATTAACCCATTAATTCCCTGGTGGTGGGGACAGCCATGGATCCCTGGCCCTTCCCTCCCCCAGCTCCCCAGCCCCCAGGATCTGCCAGCCCAGGAAGTCTGCCTTCTGCCTCCGGCCTGGCCAGCCATAGCGTCTACGAGTCGTTGACCGGGGGCGCTGCGTATCTGGGCGGTGGTCCCGGTGCCACCTGAGGGGAGTTCCCTGGGGAGGACTCTGCCCTCCTTGGGCGGCCTTGGTGCTCTCAGCTGTTGTCACAGTCATGGTTGGCGGCCCCAGGCTGCTCCTGCCTCCCACAGACCTGGGCAGGCCGACCATGCCTACGGCCCCTGGGAGTTGACCATGTTGGCAGAGCAGCGTTCGGGCCAGGGCCTGGGCCAGGACCGGGCTCCAGGCGGGAACAGAGCAGGCAGACCTGCACTGTGGGAGGCGACTGACAGTGACGCGCTGGGTGGTACAAATCGGGACTGGGGAAAGCTGGGACAGTGATGGGGACAGTGGGGGGCCAGAAGGCCCACCAGCACGCACCAGTCCCGGTGGGTCCAGGAGTCCTGAGGGGCTGGGCTTGGGGATGCCCTGTGCCGAGTCATGGCTGAGAGACCCAGGGCCGCTGGGATCTCCCTTGGATGGCCGCTCTGCTTCCACATCCCCACACGTCATTCATGGTCTTCTCCCCAGAACGTTGCTTTGAACGTTGCCTGGCGAAGACCCTGTGATTGACCCGCCAGCTGCTTGCAGCTTAACCCCCCACAACCGCTGCACAGGAGTGACAGATGGCGTCAGGCAGGGCCCAGCCTGCTGCTGAGCCATGGGGGTCCCTGAACTGTGTCTGCAGACGGTCTGCAGGTGTGCCGGCTGGGCCCTGCTGTGTGCCGGCTGGCACTGCAAGGGCATGTGGTCGACCTGGCCCTGGTAGTCCTCTGGTCCACTTGGTGTGATGGCAGGTGGGGCTGCCCCTGGGGCTGGAGGAGTGGGAACGGGGCTCAGAGGACCCTTGCCCAGCAGGTGGAGGCTCTGGGCTGGGGCCAGAGGGATAGGGCTTGGGGGCCAGCTGGGCCGAGCTCAGGGCAGCTGCACTCCAGCCTCTAGATACGGACTTCGCCGTGGAGCCCTCAAACTGGAGGGTGCACGCTCAGGTGGGGCTGCTTCTGTGTGGCTCTCAGCGAAAGGGGAGTGTGTGGGGTGCTTCCTTGTGTGTTGACATGTGTGTCACATGCACGTGCCAGTGAGGTGGTGTCTCTGTGTGGCCGTGGTGGGGCTGCAGACCTGCACCCAGAAGGGTTGCATGTTTCTCTCTGGCCGTCTGTGTGAGTCGGGGTCTTGTCCTCTTGTGAATCTGTCTGGGGATGCCTGGATGTGTCTGTGGCTGTGGCAAATGTGCGTTTATGTGCTGGTGAGTGCGTGCATGCCACACGTGTGTGTCTGCATGTAAGTGTCCATCTAGGAGCCTGTGTCTGGGCATGGCACGGTGCATCTGTGACTCTGCAGTACGTGTGTGTGTGTGATCTCTGGCCACATGACACTGCCTGTGTGTGCGTTGGCCCCTGTGCCCCTTACCGCCTATGCGTGTCTACAGTTGGGGTCTCAGGCCCAAAAGGGTCATGCTAGGCCTCGCCTCTCCCAGACAGGACCCCCCCACGCCTGTGCTAAGTGATGTGGGACGTCTGTCATCTGACCTGGTTTATAGACCGTACTTAAAGGGGGTTAATTTGCCAAGGTTTATCCCCAGCAAATCCCCAATTATTGCTCATCCTCCCCCACTTCTGTCCCGAAAGCTCAGTGCGGCCTCCCAGCACGCCATCAGATGTTCATTAGTGCCATCAAATTAGTTAGGAAGTCATTTTCTTCATTTGGCGGCTTGTGACCAAGGACGTGTGGATTCCTCTCCCCTGCGGCAGGGGACTTGGGAGTTTTCGCTACTAAAAAGCAATGAGGATCTACTGAGGCAGAGAGGCCCGCCCTGCCCCAGTGTGTGGAGTGTTCTGGAAGGGGGCCTGTGCCCACCGCAGGCACCCCTGTCAGGAGGGGCCTCTGCTCGGGGCCGTACTCTGAGCTGAGACTCAGGGCCGGGTGGGCCACTGACTCCAGACACGCCCCAGCGCCCCCTCGGCCCTCTCCCACCCAGCACCAGCCTCCACAGGTCCCCGGTCACCGTGGGCAGGAAGATCGGGCCTTCCCTCCGTCTTACCGCGCCCTGAGCCCACAGCACTGGCGCCCACTTGGCCGCAGGCCTGCAAGTGCCTCTCCCACCCCGCCGCTTGTTGGCTCACCTTTCCCATCCCTTGGGGACAGCGCTCGCCCGCGCATCAGGGCACATTTCGTAGTCCCTCCTCCCCTCAGCAGCATCTACTGAGCGTCCCCTGCACCCGTCAGCAGTGCTGGGAAGGGGCCAACCAGCCAGCTTCCCGGCCCCGGGGCTCCTGATCTGGGGGAGAAGGTGCTGAACAAAGCAGCTAAGTGTGGTCCCCAGGGAGGTAGTGAGTGCTGTGGAGGGACGGGACGGGGAGGGGTAGGCAAGGGGTGGCCCGAAGCCTCCCAGCCTCCCCCGGACACAGGGAGCAGCTGTGCAAAGACCCTGAGGCGGGAAGGCCTGGGTGAGGCTCTGACTCTGGTTCCCAGCAGAGCAGTGGTGGGTTGGGAGGAAGCAGCAAGTGCCTGCACCCCAGGCCAGCAGCCTGGAGGCGGAGGTGTGCCTGTGAGAGAGCGGCCTCCAGACTCGGTGCGGAAGGGCACGGGCCGCCCACGGCCCACCTGCACCGGCAGGGCCCGCCTGCCAAACCTGCCAGGGCAGCCCCTCCCCCGTTACACACACGGCATAATTAGCTGATTGGCTTGATTGCCTCCAGGGGGTTTCTGTTAATCTCGCATCACCAACCGTGGCACCTCCTCTGGGTCTCTGGGGCCTCCACACCCCAGGCCCCTGGCCCAGGTGGGTGTCCTCAGATGCCATGCAGCCCAGCTGGTGCCCTGCCACAGGGCCATGGAGGAAGACTGCTGCAGCCTGTGGCTTGCCCCTGGCTGGGCCCTTCACTCAGAGCCCGGGCGGCAGGGCACAGTTAAAACTAGCAGCCGGCAGGGCCCCGACAGAGCGGGCCCAAGGCTGGCACTGTGTCGGTCCTTCAGTTGCTGAGAAAGTCTCGCAGGGCAGGTGGGGCGCGGGAGCTCACCGTGGAAATACCGCAACATCTGGGGCCTCCGGGAGAGTCCAAGGCCAAGGCTGGGGTCAGGGAAGTCTCCTTTACTCCCTTGCCTGGGGCTTGCTCCCAGCGGGTGGCAGGTGACAGTCCAAGAGCGGGAGCCGAGAGTGGGCACCAGGAGCGGGCGGGAGCAGTGGCGTGGCTTCGTAAGTTCCCGGTCTCCTGGAGTCGGGGGGTGCTGTAGACAGCAGATGTCTGCCGAGCACCAGAGCCCCGCCGCAGACCAGGCTCTGCCTGGGTGCAGCAACAGGCCAGGCCAGCCTGCTCAGGTCCGCGTCCCATCCGCCCAGCACGCGCGATCTCCAGTCCGTGCAGCCCATGTGTGCCCGTGAATGTGCACCCCTTCCTCCTGGAAGGGTCGTCGGGCTCAATGCTCAGGTTTCTCCCCAAGGACACGCTCTGGCAGGAGGGGCGCAGCGCTGCCTTCTGGGAACCCCAGGTGTGGGCTCGGGAGGGCAGAGCAGGTGGCCCCCGGGGGATGGGGTGCCGAGCTCAGGGTACCCAGATGGTTTCCGTGTGAGCCGGGGATAGTCGTGTTTAGAAATGAGGTAATTGCTGGGGAGCTCAGCTCTAGGAAGCATCAGACAGCAGAAGGGCGGGTGGGCTGGCAGAGTTGCCTGGGGCCCCTGAGCCGTCCTGAGGCCTGCCTGCCCCACCACGCTCACCCTGGGGGCAGCACAGGCCCCCCCCACCCCAGACGGCAGAGCCCTCTGCTGCCCTGGCCGGTGTGGGCCTCTGCTGACCCGCACAGTGTGCGGCCCTGTAGCGCAGGCTCCGCCTTTACGAGGCAGGTTTATGACATCCATTACCCTGCTCCGTGGGCCACTTCCGAGCAGCCATAATTTGTACAAAAGCAGTAAAAAACCCGTCAGCCTCTCCCTGGAGTCGGGGGAGCTGCATTCTCCTTCCACCTTTAAGCACAAGACAGTCCTTAAGCCGGCGGCTGGGAAGTGGCCACTGCTCAGGGGTCAGCAGAGACGGCGGGTGTGCGGTGGGCAGTGTCCTTACCTGTGATGCAGCCCCAGCCCAGGCCTGGCCTCCTGTCAGGGGATCCACCTGTCCTCCCGTTCTTCTGTCCAGCCAGCCTTCCCTCAGCTCACCTCTCA